GGGAGACGAGCAGGCAGCCTGGCCAGCAGGTGTCTGAAGCCTGCTCTCTGTTGGGGTGTTTCGCAGGGTGTGAGGCCTAGTTCCCCATGTCAGGGCCACCTTGAGGTGGGTGGTGAAGATTCTGATTCCTGGGCCCCATTACAGACCAGCGGAATCAGAGGCTTCGGAAATGTGGCCCAGGAACCAGCAACTTCCTGGGGACACTAACGCATGCTGAAATCTGACAACTGCTGTGCCCATTAAACCCCATATTGGATACCTTGGGATATAGAAGTTAAAAAACGCACAGTCTCTGCCCTCAGTTGAATTAGGGAAATAAAAGAATCAGCTCCAAAGTAACAGAATGTATGTGCTGGGGTGGGCCTCAAAAAAGAGTGACAAAGTCACAAAAGTGTGACGAGTGCCCTGCTTCAGGCCACTACTCACTGGTTGCGCCTTGGGCCCAGGCCCTCTGGAGGTTTGGTTTTTTGGCTGTAAGGAGAGGTTTTACTAGCTGATAGCTTCCTCTGAAAGACTGGGAGAGCTTTGTGGGCTGGAGTAGATAAGGAGGGCTCCACAGAGGAGGTGAGGCGAGAAGTAGACCCTACAGGCCAGGTCAGATTGGGTGCTAGGAGGAGGGAGCTCGGGTGCTGGCAGTGACTCCATAGCACTGTTGACAGGGGCTGGGGTACAGAGGACAGGGTGGGTCTCTGAGGCTTTCTCTGACCCCTGCCTCTCTGTCTCTCCTCCAGCTCCCCAGCCCTATCCCTTTACGCCATCCCTCAGCACCATCAACTTTGAGGAATTTTCCCCCATGGTCTTTCCTTCTGGGACGATCCCAAGCCAGACCTCGGCCTTGGCACCAGCCCCTGCCCCAGTCCTGGCACAGGCCCCAGCCCCTGCCCCAGCCATGGCATCAGCTCTGGCCCAGGCCCCAGCTCCCGTCCCTGTCCTAGCCGCAGGCCTTGCTCAGGCCGTGGCCCCGCCTGCCCCCAGGACCACCCAAGCTGGGGAAGGGACACTGACGGAGGCCCTGCTGCAGCTGCAGTTTGATGCTGATGAAGACCTGGGGGCCCTGCTCGGCAATAACACTGACCCGGCCGTGTTCACGGACCTGGCATCTGTCGACAACTCTGAGTTTCAGCAGCTGCTGAACCAGGGTGTCTCTATGGCCCCCCACACAGCTGAGCCCATGCTGATGGAGTACCCTGAGGCTATAACTCGCCTGATGTCAGGGTCCCAGCGGCCCCCTGACCCAGCTCCCGCTCCCCTGGGGGCCTCTGGGCTCCCCAACGGTCTCCTCTCAGGGGACGAAGACTTCTCCTCCATTTCGGACATGGACTTCTCAGCCCTTCTGAGTCAGATCAGCTCCTAGGGAGGTGACACCTGCCCTGCCCGGAGCACTGGGTCACAGGGGATTGAAGCCCTCCAAAGCAGGCTTATGGATTCTGAGGGTGTGTGCTCCAACTGCCCCCAACTTCTTTGGGTGACATTTTCCTGGGGAGGGGGGCTGCATTTTATTCTTTTATTGGCAGTATCTATATCCTTTTGGAGGTGCTTTAGCAGAAGCATTAACTTCTCTAGAAAGGGGGAACCTCAGAGGACTCACACACTTCCCTCATCCTGATGTTTAGCTCCCTTGTCTCTAGAGGGAACTCTGGGGGCTCCTGTCCCCACCCTCCAGCTTCTAATACTCTCCTAGAGAGAAGCACAGGCTGGAGCTATGGCCTTTGAGGCTGCAAAGCCTTATTACCAAGTGTTCTCAAATCATGGATTTACACCTTGAGCCAAAATAATGCCCCGTTACCAGCCCCTGTGGTGCTGGTATTGTCCTTGTGCCTAACACCAGCGTTTGAGGGGCCAGCCTGCCTGCCCTGCAGAGGTCTCTGCCAGTTCTTTCCTTGCTCATCTGGCTGAAAGGAACTGGTGGGACAGCACTGGCCCTCTCCAGACTCTGGGGAGGTTTGGTCTGTGACTTCTCGGTTCCCCCTTTTCTCAAGTGCCTTAATAGTAGAGTTTGGAGAGTGGGGGGAGGGCAGGCTGGCAGCTCTCCAGTCAAGAGGCTCAGTTTTTACAGAAGATTCAAAGCAGCTGGACTCTTGCTCTTTCTACTGTCAACTAATAAATTCATTGCCAAGCTGGCCAGAGATGTGCCTTCTTTCAGCATTCTGCACACTCTTTGCTAGTCATGTCAGGCTGGACATTGTTGATACAGAGTTGGATGAATATTTATACTGTCATCTGGGAGTTTGCAGTCGAGAATGCCCTTGGAAGCCCCTGGTTACGATCCCATGGATGAAAGCAGGCTGGTATGGTGGGTGGGGACCTGCGGAGTGAGAGGGCCCAGGGCTGTGGGGATGGAGCATTTTCCGGAAGGGCTTCACGGAGGCTACGTTCGCCTCGGGTCTTAGGTTAACAGAGGAGGGTGGGTCTCGCAGAGGGGCTGGCCAGCGTTTGGAAGTGAGCGGGCTCAGAGACACGATGTTGGGAAAGTTCCATGGGGCCAGGCTGTAAAAGATCAAGAACGCTGGGCCACGCGTGCATCTCTTGGTGGTCAAGGGAAGATTTGCATCTGTTAGATGCCAGGTAAAGGTCTATGGTTTGATACTCTCTTCTGCTTCTGGGAGGACCGAAGAAATCTTAAATGTGTTAGCTCCAGGAGGCCTAAACAAAAGTCACGTAACAGCAGAAGGCTCGAGCTGGAAGTACTTCCGGCTTGGCCTGACGCACGCGCAGTAAAGCAGGGTCGGCGACAGGCCGCGGCGGGCTGGGCCCAGCCTTCTCAAGTGCGCATGCGCAGATGTTATTCTGCGACGGTGAGGCCAGGTAACGCGCTGCAGAGAAAGTCGTGTGCTGAGGGCAACGGGGTCTCTGTTCCGGGCTTCGCACTGTTGCGGGAGGGTGAGGGCAGGGGCAAACGGGTTATCAGTGGGACGTGATTCGGAAGCTGCCGAGTCCCCTGGGAACACAGGAGGCCCTGGGTGCAGACTCGGATGGACCGTGCCTACGAGGGAAGATGCCAGCGGGCGGTGGAACGTTGGGGAACCTGAACGCGTCTAGAGTCGAGCTCGCGCTCCAGCCCCTAGGCCACGGGGCGGGGCTGAAACTGGGAGGGCCACTCAGGGACCAGGCCCAGCCGCACTTCCGCGCGAGGGGCGGCACCCGAGCGTGGTGGCCGTGTCGGGACCCGGGCGAACCTGCTGGGGAGCGCCCGCGGAGGGAGCCCGGGCGCTGGGGACGGGGTCGGGGCGAGCGCGAGGACCTGGCGGCTGCGAAGGCTCCTAGGCCCAGGAAGCGGATGGCGGAGCTGCCCGCAGTGGGGCCCACCTGAGGCCCAGAGGGGAACGAGTGAGCCCAGGTCCTCCAGCCCCGGCCGTGGCTCGCTCTTGGCTTTCTCAGTGTCCTGCGGTGCCCTCCGGTGACCCCCGGAAGCCCGCTCATGGCCCTTCCCACACTCCGTGAGTGACCTCATCGTGCTCTTGGTTCCCCCGTCCGAAATCCTTGTCTCCGGCCCAGACCTTTCTCTCCTGCGCGCCAGCTTAATGGACATCTCACACTGACATCCTTCAAGCTTCAAACGCACCGTGTTTCAAAAGATCGGGGCCATACCCAGTCTGCCCCAGCCCTCCCTGTCTCGGCCTGGGCCCTGGCATCCTCCAGGGACTCCAACCAGAAACCTGGCCACGGCAGTAGATGCCGCATCTTCTCCCCTAGTGACCCCAGTCCACTCCCTTGCCAGGTCCTGGTAAGTCTGCCCACTTCTCCCGATCTTCACCACTATCACCTCGTTTGAGACACTATGACCTCCCACTGGGGCTTCTGCTACAGCCTCCTCCTGGCCCTGCCTTCCTTGCAGCAAAGGGCCCTGACACCCAAACTTTACCTCATCACTCTCCCTCTGAATATCTATCAAGCACGGGACCCGATCCGTGTTTTCTGCAGACACACCCAGAGAGTGACCAGAGCCTTCCACACTGCCCCGTGAGGGCTCCACACTGTAGTTCACAGCAGCTAAAAGCTGGGACACAGTGTTGGGAACTGCTAGTCCAGGATCCCCAGTGCACCTTTCACAGCCCTTTGACTGAGCTCCAGCTCCTTTGCCCTTGGATCCCTGTCCTATAGGCCCCAAACTGGTCCTACCCAGGATGGCTTTGACTTCTCTGCCTGGTCAACTCCTATACAACCTTCAAAACCCAGCCCTCACATTACCTCCTTCGTGAAGGCAGATTCCCCCAAAACTTGCTCAGAACCTAGCTCATCCTACCAAAGCCTAGTGGGCCCAGGGCCTGCGTCTCAGCCAGCCTGGGAAAGGGGCTGGACTAGACATGGGATGCTGGGCAAGTCAGTACCCTGTCTGGCCTCAGATCCAGAAAGCAAAGGGTTTAGACAAAAATCCACGTTTGGACCTGCTGATGCCACTCACGGGAAAGGGCCTGGCCTGATGAGAAGAGAAGTGGGTCAAGGACTGAGTTTCCCCGGGACATGAAAACGTCTCCCAAGCAACTAAGGCAGAGAAGCTAGCCCCGCTGGAACTGGGCCCTGCAAGGTCTGGCCAAGTGGTCAAGGGCGTGCCAGGCTTGGGGGCTCAGTGATTACAGAGAGAGGTGGGGCCTGCACTGGGGCCAGGGCCTTGCAGGGTGAGAGGGCCTTTATAAGGGGGCATGGTCAGGCTGTCACTGACCCCTGAGCTCTGTCTCTCCCTGTCCTGCAGGTCCACCTTCTGCCCCTGATCTCAGCCCCTCAGTTTGGGTTCCATGGCAGGGGCCTGCCTGGGCCTGGCTCAGACGATAAAGCGGAATAGGTGTGGGGTGCGGCCACCTGCTTCCCAACAGACCAAATCAGTGTTTGCGAGAGAAGCGAAGGGGTGGCTTAGCCTCAGAGAACCCCTCTGTGAGTGCCATCCCAACCCTGAGCCAGTGTCACCAGGGCCTGCTCATCTAACTGGTCCCAGGAACTTGGCTGGAGCCGCTGGGGCAAAAGCCCTTCCCCTGTCATGTCATGAAGGCCCAACCAGACACAAATAGCAGTGGCTTCTTTACTCCCTGAAGTCCTGGTTTCTGCACAGAATATTTACAGATGGGATGTGGCAAGGGCAACTTCGCCACCACATAATGGGCCGGGCAGTGGGGGCAGTGCTAAGATGCGCTTAAGCGCAGGGACAGTTCCTGAGGAAGGCCCAGGGCCCCGTGGGAGCCGGTGCCCTGAAGGTCCTGGGCGGTTCTGAGCAGGCCCGCGGGCAGGCCAAGGCTGGACGAGATGGCTCAGGCCAGGTCGGGGCTGGGAGGGCCCAGCTGCTTGGAGGCCAGCAGCAGGCGGGTGGCCGCACTCTCGGATTCGGCCTGCAGCCGCCGGTTGTTGTGCCGCAGACTCCGCACCTCCTCCTCCAGGGCTGCCTTGTCCGCCTTCTCCTAGGGGGTCGGGGGAGCGGGAGTCAGAGGGGCCCGCCCCTGTCCTGGGGTAGCCCTGTAGTCCCTGCCGACCCCAGCCCACGCCGTCACCTTCTGCAGGTCGTCCTGCAGCTTCCTGAGCATGGACTCCAGGTGAGAGACCTTCTCTGACAGGCTGCCGGGTTCTGGCCTGAGGACATGAGGTCAGGACTCAGTGGGACCAGGGCAGGGGGCAGCACCGTGGGCTGGCTCCCAGACCCACCTGAATGAGAGGGGCCCAACCCCAGTCTTCTCAAACTTAGGGGTCCGTGAAGGCAGAGCCCTGGGACAATGCTTGACTCCAATGGGTGGGCACAGACAGTGGGCACCTAGGTACAGTGAGGGGGCTAGATGGGGCGTGGAGCCTTACTCAGCATCAGACTTTGGCGTTCCCTTGGCATCTCCACTCTCTGGGATGGGCTGTCCTGTGGGGACAGAGGGACCGTTTGGACAGGCAGGTAAAGGGAATTAAGAGCCCCATTCTGGCTCCTACCCCCAGCGCCCTGGTAGCCTCACCCTCCCGGGACAGCGACTCCAGGATGGTGTTACAAGTGGAGGCGATCTCTGAGATGGACTGCCACTCGTCTTCCAGGGTCTCACTGCCTGCCTCTGACATGACTGTGGGCATGAGGTGGCTCAGCCGGGGAAACCCAGGCCAGCCTCCCCCCGCCTGCCTCCTATCCCTCACCTTGCTCCAGACTCACTTTTGCTGATGGAGTTGCGCAGAGACAAGGTGCGTGGCAGGAAGGAGGCCCTCAGCTCCGGGGCCGGGTTGCCCCTGTCCTCATCACCAGTGGGGCTGCCTGGCCCATCCTGGGGGGCAGAAGTGGGTATGAATGCAGTGATGCCCACCATCGCCACTGTGCTCTCACCCCTTGTTGGGCTCCGGAGCGTCGCTTGTGCTCACCTGGGTGGGGGGAGTCTCCCTGCCAGTGCTAGGTGTGGCTGGCTTGGCGGTGGTGGCCAGGAGGAGGTCCGGGGTGGTGTTGGGCAGGACTGGGACCTCGTCCGACAGGGAGCTGGAGAGAGCAGGGACAGCTCAGCACTAGACGCTGCGGCCCGTGGCGCCTGCTTTCAGAGGCCTGCCTGTCCAGCCTCACCGGGCTGGAAGAGAGGGAAGGCCAAGAAGGCGGACCTGCGGGGTGATGGTGAGTTCTGGCTGTGCAGGAACTCAGTCCTCTCCTCGGCCAGGTCCCCAGGCCCTGGAGGACCGCTGCCATTATTCAGGCAGAAATGTAGCAGCTGCTTCGTGGCGGGCAGCAGGACCAACCCCGGGGCCTCATCCTGCACAGGCTCTGGGGCCCCCCGTCGGCTGGGCTCCTGCAGAGACAGTGTGTACAGCTCCGAAAAGCTCCTGGGGGGAGGAAGGGGCAGCGTCAGGCAGGAACACCCCGCCCCCAGCAGCCCACATGGCCAGCCCCTCTCCCAGCTGCGCCTGAGGCTCACTTCCAGGAGGAGGAGAGCTCTCCAAACTCCCTGACAACAAGGAAAAATGTTTGCTTGGCTACTGGCCATTTTTCCAGACGTAGGTTCAAATCACAGTGCTGTCCCTGTGTATCCTGGGCAAAGCGCTCTGAACATCAGTTTCGCCATCTGTGAGATGGGGATGATGGTGCCGGCCTCACAGCTTGCCGTAAGCATTTAAATAATAACCCAGGCGGGTCTCTTAGCATAGAGACCCAAAAACTACTGCCTGGGGACCAAATCGAGCCCGCCAGGCCTTTTTCTTTTCTGTTTTAGATGTGCCTGTTTTTGTACTCCTGCAAGCTAAGCATCGTCTTTACATTTTAAAATAGTTGAAAGAAACCAAAAGAATATTTCACGACACGTGAAAATCATATAAAACTCAAATGTCCGTGTCCATAAATAAAGTTTGAGTGGAACACGGCCACACTCGCTCATTTACATTGTCTCTGGATGCTTTCGTGCAACAAGTCGGGTTGCTGCAGCAGAGACCAGATGGACTCTAGAGTGCACGCTAATGCCAGCACCGAGCCCCGCGCGGTGGCCGGCCGCCCGCTCCTCCCACCTCCCCGCGCCCGGCGCCCTGACCTGCGCGGCCGGCCGCTCTCGTCGGGGGGCAGCACGGTGACGCAGACCTTGGGCGCCGAGCGCAGCAGCTGGCCGGCGGCCTCGGGGCCGAGGCTGGGCAGCGTCTGGCCGCACACGCGCAGCAGGCGCGCCCCGGGCCGCAGTCCCGCCGTCTCGGCGAACGTGAAGCGCTCCACTTGCGTGACGAAGCCCTCGGCGTCCGCCTCGAAGCCCAGGCGGCCTTGGCCGTCGCGGGGCAGCGCCAGCTCGCGGGTCTCGCAGCCGCGGCTCACCAGCTGGGGCGGGGCAGGGCGTGAGAGGACTGCGCGAGGAGAAGCCGCCCCCGCGCCAGCCCCGGAGACCCCGTCCCAGGCCGCCCAGCCCTTTGCACACCCCGGAGAGCATCAGCAACCAGCCGGCCGATGAGGGCCTGAGGCTCAGAGACCAGGGGCTCCAGTTCCAGCCCTGCCAAGCTCCCGGGCTGGGGCCACACCCTTGACTTTCCCCTAGGCAGGAGGCAGCGGGAACGAGCGGTTCCAAAGCCGGCCCCGTCCCTACTCCGGGCCTCACCTGCAGCCGCGCCACGACCTCGCCCACGGCTTGGCCGGGGGGCCCGTCGAGCCGCAGCGTGATCGCCTCCCCGCGGCCGTGGTACAGGTCGAGCTGCTGCTCGGAGAAGGTCCAGGCCAGCACGTCGCGACAGGCGCAATTGAAGACTACGCGGCCGTCACGCGGCGCCACCAGCACCAGCGCTTCCGCCGAGATGCCCAGCAGGCAGGGTACCTCGGCGCCGTCGGGGCTGCCCGTCTGGGCCCCGGCCGCGCCCCGCGCCCCGGGCGCCGCGCGCACACCCCACACCAGCGCGCCCGCCGCCTGCAGCTCGGCGCCGGGGCCCCGAGGGGGCGCCCGCCGCCTCCCACCCAGGGAGGGCAGGCCGAAGCGCGAAGCCGAGTCCAGCGACGTAGTGGTCACCTCGTTGGTGGCCAGGTCCTGCAGGTACTGCTGGCGCGTGCGCGTGGCCATGGCGTGGAACTGGCCCGCTTGGCTCGCCGCCTGCTCGCCATTGAGCGCCTTGGCCAGCAGCAAGGCCCTGAAGTCGGCGTTGGCCTGGAAGGGGCCTCCGCCAGGGGGCAGAGCTGGCCCAAAGGCCGGGGTGTCCTGGGTGCGGCTCACGGCCACCCTGCGGGGAGGGAGGCGGTAGTCAGGGGCAACAGGGAGGGTCCAGGAAGCCAGACCCCGTGGCAGAGCGGGCAGCACGCAGGCGCCCACCTGTAGGAGGTGTGCGGAGTGCAGGGTGCGTGTGCCCGCACCACTAGGAACACGTGCTGGAAGTGTGAGCGGATGGTGGTGGGGCAGAAGGGCTTGCTGCCAGGTTCCTGGAACACGATGGTCACAATGTCGTTGCCGATGTGGCGCTTCCGCAGGAGCTGGGGGTTAGATGGTAAGGGATGTGAGCGGGCCCCCCAAGTCCCTCCTCATTCAGGCAGGGCAGAGCCTGGGCACCAGTGGCTCCCCCACCCGCCCCTGGACAAGGCCTGGGGTGCTAAGTCTTGGGAGAGACACCAGCAGGGAGAGTTGTTGGGGGTCAACAGACCTGAGGGGAAGGCTCAAATACTGCCACCCACACAGCAACCCTCCCTGCTTCCCCAGAAAGCCCTGGCCACCCCCCGACCCCCAGCCCCCTCACACCTGCTGCTGGTTATTGGGGGTGTAAGGCAGCATCGTGGACACGTGGAACATGATCTCGTGGTCCTGGTATGTGGTGTAGAGGGAGTGCGTGCCCGTGGAATCCGCTGTGGCCAGGGAGTTGGGGACACAGAGGGAGACCAAGGGGAATCAGGGTGGCTTGAACTTGCCATCCTTGCCGGCAGTCTGGAGCCTCTGTGTCCCCAACCAGCAAGTGGACAACCCCTTCCTGCCAGGAGGTCCAAGGGCTTCAGCCTCGCGGTTCCCCTCCCCCTCCCCCCACAGGCTCCAGCCTCCAGCCTTGGGGTTGGGGGGCATTGAGACAGAATGACGACAGAAATGAGAAATGGCCTAAGAGGGAGGCGGGGGCAGTGTCCTAGGAGAGGACAGATATTGGCCCCGGCACCAGCATGTGTGGAGCAGCTGAAGGAGTGGAAGGCAGGCAGGTGCTCCATGAAACACCTCCCAGGGGCCCTTCCACCCAGGGAGGCAGGGGCGCTCCCCAGGAGGCCGGGCTGGTGGAATATGCGTGTTTTAAGGAGGGGGTGGCGTCCCCAAACCCTCCTGGCCCCAGCTCAGCCAGTAGGGGACCGGGCCCTTGGGGGACAGTCCCAGCCCCTCTCCCCAGCCCACGGCTTGGCCTTTCCTCCCCTGACCCACATCCTCAGCCTCCCCAAAGAACTCTCTACCCTTTCCACCCCCAGCCCCAGGACAACACGGGACAGAGAAGTGACAAGGCAGTTGGTTCTCATCAAGGCAGCCTGCCCCCGCGCCCAGCCCCCTGGGCCTCACTTTTGGTGTCCAGCTGCGCCCGGTAGCTGTCGAAGCCTTTGAGCCGCACCACGTCGCCCAGCAGGGTGAGGAACTGCGTGAAGGCCGGCCCTGCCTCCTGGTTGTTGTACATCTCCTCCTCCGAGCCCTGGCCCTCCCGGCAGTACAGGATGCCCACCTTGCGCTGGAAGCTCAGCTGAGGGGCAGGGTACAGGCAGAAGGCACAGGCCTCAGTCCCCCAGCCCCACCCCCACTGGGCCTTCTGGGATGGATGGGACACTGGCCTCGGGGCCGGACTGCCTTGATGTGTAGCTCTGAGCACCGCCCTTTCCAAGCCGCCTCTGTCCTCACCTATCGGGTAGGTTCAGTCTGTCCTGCTCCCAGGGCCCAGGAGGGAAGAGGGGGTCACAGGTGGGACGGGACCAAGAGGGGGGTGGTTCTCATGTGACCACAGAGGAGCGGATTCACAGAGAGGACCCTACACATGGTGTGCTCAATCCCAATCAATGTTCCCATTGTCATCTTCTTTATCTCAAGGTTAGCCTGTCCTCCCCTCCCTCGGATCCCGGGCGCCCCGCCCCAGCCGGCTCCCACTCTGCTCCTGTCCCCTTTGGCTCATTCCCATCGAGGTTAACCGTGCACAGCTCCGGGTGCTCTAAGCCGGTGCACACGAGCCCAGCGCCCCTGCAGCTCTGGCCTCCCTTCTTCCTTCCAAGCTCGTCTCCAGCCTCAGTCCCCACCTTCCTCCCCGCTTCCAGCCCAGCCCTGAAGCCCTGGCTCCCTCTTGAGGAGCGCATGGCCTCGTACTTGCACCCTCTCACCATAGTTGGCTCTTGGGACAACGGGAACCTCACTCTGCCTGAAAGCCAGGGACCCCACCATCTCGTGCCTGGGCCTCTTCTCCACCCGTGCTGTTTGTCTTTAGTGGCTGCAGTAGCCGTCTCCACGGGATGACACTCTGGTCTCTGCCTGCAGCCCAGGCCCTTCTCCAGAGCTGCAGACCCAGCTGCTCCAATGTCCTTCCAGCACTTCAGCACCCTCACTTCCTGTGACTCTCCCATCCCGCCCATCCTCCAGGGTTCCAGACTCCATAAAAATACCACTCCCAGGGGCCAAGAAGCTGGGGAATCTCACAACACCTCCACCTTTCAGTGAGTGACAAAGGCTACCCACTACCCCAGGACTGCCACCTCCTCTTCACCTCTGCCATCATTGCCACCAGGTCTGGCTTGCACAACTGCAACAGCCCTCGGGCCTGGCCTCCCTGCCCCTTCCGTCTAGCACCTACTCTCAGATCTTCCATGGTTCCCCAGCGCCCTCAGGACTGAATGCAAGCCTTTCCCACCCCTTCCCCCAAGCTCCGCTCCAGCCACACTGAACTGCCTGCAGGACCCCAGTGTGACCTGCTTTCAGTCTCTAGACCTTTGCACAAGTCGTTCCTTCTACCCAGAATACACCTGCTCTTCCTGGCTCAAGCTCTTGCCTTTCCTCCATGATGCTAACCCCTTCACCAAAGAAGGGCTGTCAGCACTCCCTTGGTGCCCCACAGAGCCCTCAGCATTCCCCTTTCACTGTTATCCTGCTCCACGATTCTCTGTGGGTCTCTCTCCCCGACCTGGCTGTGAGCTACTCAAGGACAGCACCTGGTCTGGACATGTCCCCAGCAGCCAGTCTGGGGCCTGGCACCAAGACAGTGTGAGGAATGTTTGTCGAATGACTGATGTTGAATGACACAGGAAGAGAATCAGGGCCAGTGGGCAGCTTTCCGCACAGGGGAGGGAAGGACTTGCATTTCTAACAAGCTCCCAGAAGATGTGGATGCTGCTGGCCTACAGACCTTCCTTTGAGAGGCAAGGCTCCAGATGACCTCTGATGCCCTCTCTCTGAAAAACATGCGCTCCTGGGGTCATCGTCCAGCCCAGGATCAGGGTCAGGGCTGGGCAGCTGGGAGCTGGGCAGGCTGGGTTCACGCCAGGTCTAACTGTAGGGCTGGGGACGCCCCGGCCACTCACCACTTGCTCGTCCAGCGTGAGCAGCGTGCGTGGCACCTTCGGTGAAGCTGAGCCCAGGCGCAGGCAGGTCGGGCTCAGCCGCGGCGCCACGTGCTCCAGAAGCTTCCTTGGGGACAGGCCCCGCGGGGGCCCCGGCGGCAGCGCGTCCTCTGAGATGGTGCCGCGGAGGGTCCGGAGCTGAGGAGGGATGTAAGAGCTCTCGGGATCCGTACAGGTTGGCTGCCGAGGAGGCAATCCGCGTTCTGACCCCACGATCTCGGCTCACCTGCGTGGTCCGCACGATGATGCGGTAGCTGTGCAGAGTGCCCCCTCCGCTGCTCTCCTTCTCCTCCCGCCGCAGGCTCACTGCCACCGGGCCCAGCGCCTCGTCCAGTCCGAAGAAGTTCTGGTGTTCTGGGGGGCCGGGTCGTCGATGACCGGTCCTGTCCCCACAGGCAGTCCCACCCTTGCTCGACCACGTCCATCACTAAGTCCCGCCCCGGGTCGCATCTCCTCACCTTGCGCAGATCCTAGACTAAGTACCGCCCCCTCCGCAGCCCCGCCCACATCCCACCAAGGCGAATCCTGACTGGTGCCTGCTCCCATACACTCGGCCCTATGCCCCGCCCCCCTGCGGCCCCGCCCCTATCACACCTGGCCCTGGCCCCAGATGGCGTCATGCCCGCCCCCCATGCCCTCGTTCTTCTCCAGGATGTCTGCCCCCTCCATCTGGGCACTGATGAGAGCAAGGTTCCCGGAGGCAGGGGTTTTCAGGCCTCAGTTTTCACCTCACGGAAATGTAGATGGGAAATCTCTCCCTAGCCCAGAGCAGGAGGAGGATGAACCAGAGGAGGCAGAGGGTGTGCCTGGCTGTGGATGGAGGCTGGGGCTGGCCTCCAGGAGGTGGTGAAAGCTGGGCCCAGCGAGGCAGCTGTGGCCTGGAGGCAGAGCCTGACTCTTCATACGGCCCGGGACTTGATGGGGACAGTAGCCATGAGCCCTCCTGTGAGCACTGAGGGTGACAGAGCCCTCCCCTCACCTTTGCCGTAGAAGTACTTGCGGTAGTAGCCAGCGCCCAGGTCTGCGTGCTCCAGGCTGTAGGCCAAGCTTCGGTTCTGTGGTTCCTCCAGGACGGACACAGCCGCGTTGGGCAGCGCAGGGGGCACAGGTGGGGACACTGGTCCGCCCAGGCCCAGCTCGCCCTCGCCGCCGAGCTCACTCACGAAGCCAGGCGCCTCGAGCAGCAGGTCCGAGCTGCCCGTCTGGTCCTCAGCCGGGGCGGGGGTTCCAGAACGGGCGTCTGCGCGGCCCCCCGGCCCCCGCGGCCTCGGAGCCCAGTCGAAGAGCAAGCTCTGCACGTCGTAGTGGGCGAACCAGCGGGGCTCGGGCACCGGCGGGAAGGCGGGCTCGGGCTCCTCGGCCGGCAGCCCGAGCAGGGCCAACGGGTCGGTGAAGAGCCGGGTGGCGGCGGCGGGCCGGCTGGCGTCCTCGTGGCTGTGCGCCCGGGCGCGCGGGCTGGCGGGCGTGGGGGGCCGGGCCTCGCCGGCATCGCTGCCGCTGCGCAGGAGCGGGCCCCTGGACGGCCTCGGCTCGAAGGTGTGCGGCGTCAGCGGCGGCCGCGCGGGCTGGCGCAGCTTGCGGGCGAAGAGGTCATCGGTGGGCGCGGGGGCGGCGCCCCGCCGCGGGCTCCCCACGCCGCCGGCCCACATAGGCGTGCCGCGGGCCTGGCGTGGGCGCCGGGCCGCATCGGCGGGCACGGGTGCTCGGTGCCCGGCGGCAGGCCGGCTCCTGCCCTGGCGGAGGAGGGGGCTGCTCAGAGGGGCCTGAGAAAACAGGAACCCGGCCCGCGCCCCGTCCTCCACCTCGCCGGTTGGCTTCCGGCCCCCTCCGTGACCATCAAAGCCGCTTCCGCTTTCCTGGCCACTTCCTCGTCTGCCTGGGGCTGAGGTTTCCAGCCCCCTCCTCCAGCTTAGCGCTGGGCTGGGCCCGGGGCACGCTGTCGGGGCCTTGACCCTGAGGCTTGTGAGCCTGGGCAGCCTGGGGCTGACAGGGGCCTCCAGGTCTCACTCCACACCTTGGCTTTGTCCTGGACCCAGAGTGAGGGTCCCCTCCAAAGCCTGGCCCAACCGGACAGATGATTTGTCTCATCTGGGAGGGAAAACCCGTGGGGCCACTGGTGTCTGGGTCCTGCTCACTTGACAAAGGGAGGACGTCCTGTCCCCAGAGACCTTCCTCCCTGCCCCTCCCACTTCCTCCAGGATCCCTCAGGAGCTGAGCACCCAGAGCCTGGGTCTCAAGGCCCTGGCCCTCACAGCCTCAATACCTCAAGGACACAGGGGATCCAAGGGCCACTGGCAGGGCAGCAGGCACAGCAAGAAGCCTTCCTTCAGCACAGGAAGTGGCCCCAACTCTGGGCCCAGCCCCCTGCCCAACCCCACATCCTGAAGAAGGTGCTGGGGTCACACCAGCTCAGTAATAGGACCCATGTCACCCTGGCCTGAAGGACAGGCCTGGGCTCACCCTCTGGCAGGGTGCTGTGGCCATGCCTGGGGGCAGGGGAGAGTCATGCTGACCGGGCCCCTTTGCTGGAACTGAGACCCATGGGGACCTCTGCCTACCTGGCCTCACTGATGCTGACAAGGAGGTCTGAACCCCATGTGACAGATGGTGAAAGTGAGGTCCAGATAAGGAGATGCTTTTGCCTAAAGCAATTCTGTCACAGCAAGAATTTGAACATGGGTCTGTCGATCTCCCGGGCTTACACAGTGCTGTACCTCCCCCTCCTATGCTGTGTGTAGCTGTGGTGTGAGTTGGGGGTTGGGTTGAGGCTCAAGGTCTCACAGGATGTAAAACTGAGACACCCAAGGCCCCAGAGACCTGTGAAGTCCGGAAATGTGTCGAGGCCAGGGGCAAGTGCAAAAGGTGGTGTGAGAACCTGAGGGAAGCCACCCCCAGGTGAACCCAGGATGGAGTGGGCAGCTGCGGGAGGGATGTGGGGACCCTCCACTAGGGGTGCAGACACCTGCTGGTGGGTGTTCGTGTGTCACCCAGTGACACTGTGTGGGGCTGGGTGAGGAGGAGGTGGGGGCAGGGGCTCTGTGCACCCCTCAACTAATGCTCCAGAACGAAACAAGGATAGGCCTGCAAAGCTCAGACTGCCTTGTCCCTAAGTTTCTCCTAGGACAAGCTCTGACACTGACCCTGAGGCTAGGTTCTCTCATCTCTAAAATGAAGTTAACCATCCTTGTCCTCTCCCAAAACTGCGGGGAGATTGAAAGGTGGGGGAAGCGAGTGAAGCTGGCCATGTGTTAAGTGTGTGGTGGCAGATGCAGGCCTGGCTCCATGTGCCAAGCTCTTGGGCCGCGGCTGTGGTGTGTGTGATGGGGGTTAGAGGGGACCCGAGAGAGGAGTCTGTGCTAGCTCCTGCTCTGTGTGGGCTGAGCTCTGTGTGTGTGTGCGCGCACAGCCCACGGGCTGCCTCTTGTTCTGGCCCGGTGCCGGGCTCTGGCCCTGCCTTGAGGGGTGTTCTTGAGCTCTGCCCCCCACCCAGCAGCTTCACACAGGGTCCATTGAGGCCAGGACATTCCTCGCGGCCTGTGTCACTCGGGGGGAGGGGGCCGGCCCCGCCCCCACGGATCCGGAAGGCCTGGCTGCCCCAGGAGGAGGCGCTGGACGCTTCCCAGCACATCTGGAGGTCATGACCCCATTTCTACTGCCAGGGGGCGCGACAGATGTTTCCTCCCAAGCCAGGCCCGGGATGGGGGGCAATGTGCAAAGGCTGGGTAAGAGAGCGCCCAGGGAGAAGGGGAGCCCCAGAACGGGGGGGGGTGGTCCCGCACACAGCTGGCAGCAGGGACGGTCGCCAGTGCCGCCGAGGGGAGCTGGGGGCCGCCGCATCCACTCTCCCGTACACCGGCCGGGCCGGGCCGTCACGCAGAGGAGAGAGTGGGGGCCGCCGATCGGAGCCAGGGGACCGGACATGCTGACTCGGGACCGGAGCTGGCGCCAGCAGGGAGGTGGGGAGGGCGTCGGCGACGGACGCGGCGAGGACCCCCCCTCCCATACACACACACCACGAGGGCCCACGCCAGGCCGCCACCTCCCCCGTCCGGCCCGACTGCGGCGCCTCCGCTTCCCCTCTCCCACCGGTACCTTTAGGGCTCCCGCCGGCGGCCGCCTCCCGCGCTGGGGTCCCGCTGCCTGTTCTCCCGCTACCGCTCCGGGCGCCGGCTCCGCCTGGGGGCGGGGCCCTGCCGGGGGCGGGGCCGCGGCGGAGGGGGCGGGGCCAGCCCGGCAGCCGGCTGCGGCGGGAAGCGCAGCGGGCGGGGACTTCGGGCCACCCCGGAGCCCAAAACGAGCCAGGCCCAGCCCAGCCCTTGGCTGGGAACCGCAAACAAGTGTGCCTGCCTTCCAGACCAACAGGAGGGCTAAAGCGGGACACCTAGTGTCCAGCTCCTGCCGGTCGCACTGCAGGTGCTAGGACCTGCGCCCGTTCATGCGCTCTTGCTAAGCACTTGGGCCCTCCTCTATACACTTTCTCATTTATTCTTAAAACACCGTAGACAGGTGTGTCTCTTTATAGAGAAACTGAGGCTCAGGGAAAGGCTTTGGCCAAGGTCAAAGCTGCTAATTGTAGGAACCAGCCATTGAAGCTGGAAGTCTTGGAATATATGGGGTGAGAAATTGAACAAAATGAACTTCAGATCAAGGCTTGAAAAGGGATGAGGCTTGTGAGGAAGGGGACCCATACCTACCTGAACCCCACCGTGGTCTAACCTTGATCTCCATCATGATCCAGCCCCATATCCTTTGTCCCCTTCTCCATCCTCATCCACCCTGACCTGGCCACCTCCTCTAGCCTCCACCCAAACGTTCCCAAATAGAAGAAACCACCAACCAAAATCAAAAATAGTGTTATTAATTCTGGTGTCTCCGAAGCACGGAAAAAAAAAAAAAAAGACAAAAAAAAGACAAAGAAACCACCCTTCCCACATTTCAGCCCCAAGTCCGGGCCAAGGGGCTGCCCCTGCAGGCAGTGCAGGCCCAGAGGCCAAGTTAGTCCTGGCCACGGGCTTCAAGTGGGACCAGCCCATGGGTTTGGCTCTTAGGGCCTGGCTGGGAGGCTGCCTGCCTCAGTTTGGGGAGCCTAGGCCCTAGACTAGGGATGAGAGATCAGGGGTCAAGGTCAGAGGTCTGGGCCACTCAGTTCTGGTGCTCTGGCTAAAGCAGCCAGAGGTCAGGGTTCAGATGTGGAGGCCAAAGCCACTCAGTTCTGTGGTCCAGCAGAGAGGGCCAGAGGCCAAGGGTCCAAGTTACTGAATCCTGGGCTGGGATCCAGGGTAACAGGCCACTCAGTACTGATGCTCCAGCAGGGGCTGGGCGGCCGGGCTCTCGCGTTCCTCAGCAGGGACAGGCCAGTCACCCAGGGCCCCAGTGGGTGTGCCGCTCTCGGGAGCACTGCTGTCCAAGCAAGGAACGTCCTGGGCCGCTCTGGGGGGCGAGGTGTTGGTACTGATATCCGGGCTGAGGCTGAGGTCTAGGGGCGCCTAGGGGAGGGGAAATAGGTTGGTGGGAGAGCACACCTAAGCTGCCTGTGACTCAACCTTCCCATAAGACCCTTACCTGAGATTTGGGGGTGCCTCCTTTGGGACTCCCTGAGGCCGGCTCCCCTTCGGATGCCCCCAGGCCCTTCCGACCCCCAAGGCTCCACTTCCCACTGGGACCCTCAGAACTGAGGGGACCAGGGCCAGGGGGCCTTGAGGGCCGGGGACCCTCGGTGGGGGTGGGCGAAGCAGGGGGCGGCCCAGGCAGCCGAGGGGGAGGCCACTGCAGCAGAGGAGGGGGGCGTCCATCACCAGAGCCACTCAGGGAGGGCCGCGGGCCCCAGCCAGGGCCTGGTGGGAGGGATTGGTCGCCACTGCCTGTGGGAGACAGATAAGAGGGCAGAGACCTCAGCCAGGCTGTCCTCCTCACCCACTGTTTCAGCCTGGTCTTGCCAGCTCACCTGCTGTGTTCTCAGGTGTGGGGTGTGCCAAGGGGGGGTTATTGCTGAGGGAGGTCAAGCCACCACCTCCGCCACAGTCCGAGTCATCCACGTTGCCACCGCTATTGCAGCCAGCACCACAGCCCTTATGAAGCCTGGGAAGGTGGGGCAGCAGTGGAGAAGAGTTGGCGGGGGTAGGGCCAGAGAGCTCACGAACATAAGCCCCCAGCCCTAGGACAAGTCACCTAACATCTCTGAGCTCTAGGGTCCTGTCTCTAAGAGATTTTCCCATCAACTTTGTGGGCTCTTTTAAGGAAGACATTATCAACGGCTGTTAAGGACAAAGACCACCTTCAGCTCTGTGGGGGGAGAGGGGGCGGTGGAGTCAGGTCAGCTCTGGGAGGGGGTCAGCTCTCAGGCTCAGTCCTGGCTCCAGCACTTCCTCACGCTGAGAGCAAGGAGGGAGTGGCTTCGTCTCTCTCAGCCTCAGTTTCCTGCTCCATGAACCTGGCTTCACGGGCTAGGGGCCGCATTCAGGGCTCACCTCTCCCAGCTGTGCAGAAGCCAGCGGGCGATGGCACCCAGGCTGACGGGGCCCCCCCACAGCGCCCGCAGCTGGGGGTGGCTGCCAGCCAGCGAGGTGGTGAGGGGCGACACGTAGATGGGGTAGCCCAGTGGCTGGTCGCAGGAGGAGTTGATCATGTTGCGCAGCGCCTGTTTAGCGTTCTGGATGCTGCCCCGCTCGGGGTTCCGGTTGCGCAGGAACACCAGCTCCTGCTGCTGCCCGGCCCACAGGCCTCGCACACACTCGCGGTTCACCTGTGGGCAGCCACACGCAAGGGTCAGGAGGCTGGCACCAGGGAGGGGGCCGGGTCAGGTGGGTGGGCCATCCCCACCTTGATGACTCGGAAGCTAAGGTGGCGCCGGTTGAGCATGATGATCTTGTACTCATCAGAGGCGTCATCCAGGACGTGGCGCAGTGCCAGCAGCGAGGGCGTGTTGCTGAGGATGGCGCTGCGCCAGGCCGGGTCGCCCTCGTGCGAGATGACCAGCCGCTCCTCGTTGGCTGCGATGGCATCATACAGGGCAGCCGGCTCCTCATACTCATCTGGGGATGTGAAGTGGTCCTACGGGCAGGACGTGGGGGCCAGGGTCAGTGGTCCCTGCCATCAGGAGGGGCTTCATCCTCTACTCGCCCACCCTGTCCAGGCACACCTCTCCCCACCTGGTGAAGCTTGAGGGCCATGCGAACCCCAGGCGCCACCACTCGATGAAGCAGGTCCATGTCGGCAAAGACCCACTCGTCTCGTGGGGAGGTGATGCGGAAGTCCCCCTTGAACAGGGCGTGCAGGCCATAGAGGAAGGGCTCCAGGCTGGGGAAGAAAGGCAGGGAGTGAGCACGAAGGTTTAGAGCTCTGGCTCTACGTGCAGTGGTCTGAGCCAAGCCCTGTCTTCATGCTGGGCCTCAGTTTCCCCATCTTGACAAGGAGGTCAGTCTCTGCCCAGCTCCCTCACAAGGTGGCAAGGAGCAGGCAAGGTCACAAGTGGGAGATTCCCTTGCCCACAGAAAAGAATCACATGGAAGGAAGGACTGATGTGGTTCCTGGGGGCCTCTGGCCCGGAGCTCTTCACAGAGTGGGTGGAGGGGAGAGCAGTAGGCCCAGCTGGACCTGTGCGCACTCACCTGGCAGACATGCTGTGTGAGGCTGTCCCCAGGGCCCGGCGGCCCAGCACACACAGACCAAAACACAGTGTAACCAGCGGGGAGTTCCAATCCTGGTCCACGGGCTGTGGCACAAAGACCCCATCCCCAAGAGCCCAGCTCAGACCTGGGTCAGGTAACTTGGGGTGGGGGCCAAGGGAGGCCGAGGGTGAGAGGACCCCACATAGGGAGGGGAGAAGCAGAGTGGGGAGAAGGCAGCCCCAGGGTAGGGTGACCTGACCTGGCTGCGCCGAGAGGCGCAGTACTGGATCCACTCGAGGTGCACCGCGCAGAAGGAGGGCAGCGAGAGGCCGGAAAGGCGAAGGTCATAGTCCTCATCCACGCTCAGTGAGAAGGTGGGGTCCGAGTCCGCATAGCCAGGCGCCCGCACAGGCCGCAGGGCTGCTGCAATGCCTTCGTGGCTTAGCCACGCCTCCAGCTTTGGTGAGCGGCTCACATAGTAGATGATGCTCTGGAAGGAGAGGGGAGGCGTCAGGGTTGGGACCAGAGACAGGGGCAGTACCCTAGCCCCGCAAATGGAGCAGAGAGCGTCAGGGTGAAGAGGATTCCCCTTTGACTGAGCTGAAGTCTGCTTCCTAGGATGCCTATCCTGTGTCCATCTCAGCTCCCTGAAGCCACAGGGGCAAGGCTGTGCTGCTCCACCAGGCCAGGGAGGAGGAGCGAGGAAGCCAACAGAAGCAGTCCTCCTCACAGAGTGGGCCCTGGAGGGTCCTTCACTGCGCCAAGGGCTTGCATGCTTGCCTCAGAAGATGCCCCATTTGTGAGGGAAACTGAGGCTCAAAGACAGGGCAGGCTTGCCTGAGGATACAGAGCAGGGCAGACTGAGCTGGGATCGGAACCCTGGGACCCTGGACACCACGAGGCTGTGGGATCCAGATCTCAGAGGCCTTGGAAGGTCAGGCTGAGATGGTGGGGCTGCCTGCAGGCCAGGGAGTCTAAGTGCCCCTGGGTCACAGGTCCCTCTAGGCAGCTGAAGTGTGACAGCCACAAGGGTTCCCCTCAGAAAAAAGATAGAGGCACAGCGTCCTGTGTCCAATTGGGGCTCCTGGACCCGTTAAGAGACTGCAGGTTTCTAACCAGGGGTTTGGGCAAAGGGAGAGGAGCTTGAGGAGGGCAGGCAGTTGGCAGAGCCAGGACAGATGGGCAGTACAAGGCTGGCAGCTGGCAGCCAGTGGTTACTGAAATGCCACGTACCGCCCTGGGATGGAGCCGATGGGGCTGGCCCTCTGCCTGGGTAAGGGGTAGGGAGTCCAGGGCTGGGGAGGGTAGTGCAGCTGGCCACAAACAGAGGGCATGCAGGAGTAGAAGCATCCAGCAGTGTGGCTCTGGGGGGCCGGGAGAGGCCAAGAGCCTGCGCAAAAGGACCACAGTACAAGCTGGGAAGAACCCAGGGCCTCAAAGAGCTCCCTGGGGGGGCACCTGGAGGCCACAGCTACGGGGGGGCTTGCCTGGCAGCTGGGAGCCTGGCCCCAGCATCAGCTTGGCTGTGGGCAGGTGGGTGGGCAGTCTGGGGAGGGCTGGGCTGTCCCTTT